TTTCTACTCTCAAAATATGATATTAAAATCAGTTCACTGAGTGAGCCGGTGAGATGTCTCAACAAAAGCTCCAGCCATTGAAGAAAACAAGTTGATATTTTCCCTGCATCATTATGGTAGGTGAGGACCATATTGACTTTCACATGTTGTCCCCTGCCCCCTACCTGTGTTCTAGGGTATGAACATTCCTTCAAACATACACAAAAACATATAACAAATAAATAAACAAATGTAAAAATATAATTTCACTCAGGTATAACTGCTGAATGAAAAGTTATATATATTTAATTAATAGAAAGCAAATGAGTTGAAATTCACCTATGAAATATCATTAGCCAAAACACCAGAGATCCATACCTCCATTCCAAAGTTTCATTAACTCATATTTCCTATGACAATTATATTTATTATCCATCAGTATACATTTTTCATGACAAACACTTAAGCTATACCTTCCTAGTACATTTATTTATTTTTGTGATTCCACAGAGAAAATTAAATAAACCACAGGAAAGACAGCTCCTAAATTCTACATTTAACATTCATAAAAAGGCATTTCTCTGTAAAATTCATGAAAGAAGAGCAAAAGCATAGTTTTTTTACTCATAGAGAATGATTGCATACATGTCTTCATTTTCACTCCTTCAAGTGTTTCTCTAATACAGCACTTATTAAGTGTCTAATGTTACTCAGATCGACAGTCTGCAGCATTTTCCCACCAAGTACCACATTCTGTTTCAATATTGCCATTCCTGACATAGAAGATATTTATGTAGTTTATGAGCATAAATATCCTTCACGACTCCTCTCTTTATCTGTATTGCAGCACTAACCCTTTCCTTTGCATATTCCTCCCTAGGGAGGACACAACCTTGCTACTCTGGGATAAAAACTCAGTCATCATCTTGCAGTGACTTACCAGTCTCCTTGGGTTACCTCCTCAAAATGAAGTTGCCTCTTCTGCTGTTGGTGCTGCTGTTGTTCAGGATTCCTGGTGAGGACAGAGGGAAGTGAGAAAGGAGGATGGGTAGGGAGCATGAGCTCTGGGTCTCACTGCTGATCACATGTGTTCTGTTCATGTATGAGAAGACAGAGGGGTCTTATCATCTAGGATGGTGCCTGTGGGGTTTACATCTGTAAGAGTGAGATTTCAGGTTGGAGAGAACCTGGGCTACAATGAAGATTATGACATTGATGGAATGGGATGGCCTAAGTTATGCTTAGGCTTTCAATTAAGTTATCCTTATGGCTGTCAATTCAGTTAGCTTGTCAAAAAGAAAATTTTGGTGTATAAACAATTGTATGTAAAAATAAACATCTCAGTTGAAATGAATATCAAAAAAGAATACATAACGTTTGTTCATGAAGTATGTCCTTAAGTTTGTTCTTTTCTGTCTTTATTTCAGCTTCCAGAGGAGATGTTGTGATGACCCAAACTCCATCCTCCTTGCCTGTCAGTCTTGGAGATGAAGCCTCTATCTCTTGCAAGTCTAGTCAGAGCCTC